TAAACTAATGTACAAATAACTTAACACTTATTCCTATACCGGGTCTCTTACATGCATAAATGCAAGAAGATGAAGGAACAATTTACGTGTACTTTACACGGAAGCGAAAACTAGTAAGCAATATAGAAAGAAATACTCATGGTGGTAGTTGCTGCGTGGACTAATCAAAGCTGTGGGGGGAGGGGGATGATTGGCAAGTATTATGCGAAATATTTTTGTGTAATAGTGATAAGTTGCAATCGATTTTCGGGTTTCTTTCTACGGCTCTCTGCACATTTCCCCCACATTTCGACGGCCCTCTTAATTTTTCCTTGATTCCGTTGTTAACGTAGCGGGGATGTACAAAAAAATAGCGAAACAAGTCCTATGAGAAAAACAAAACCCGGCCTCGATAGGTGGCAGATTCCACCGCAAACAAAAAGGTCACATGTTTAGCTATGTTTTTTTGTAAAATAAATCCTCAAACAATTGCTCGAAATCCTATCCTATTCGTTAATAATGTTCATTCTTAATAATTTTCACTCATAAAATAGACAGACCATTAAAGAGATAGAAAGTCGACCAAAAATTAAAACAAAGAAAAAATTCGCTTCTTATTTTTTTGAATGTGGTTACTCACCCGTTCATAATGCAGTGATGAAGAAAAGCTATTAACATTCTTATGGTGTGGATTATATCCACGTTCTTACTCATTCTAAGTAATGTTTACTACATTTCTATACCTATAAGCGAAAGGTAAAGCATTCATTTTGTCGAAATGCTTGTAGTAACTACAACCAAAAGTATATATAAATATTATTGATCAGTAATAAACAGTATATAGACCTACTCATGTCCGTCTGGCCACATGTGGTAAACGTTTTCCATGTCGCTAAAACTAAGATATCGACTTCAAATGATGGCGGCGCTTGCAGCAGATTGTTATTGATAACGAGCTAAATTGGTCGAAGGACAGGCAACACACAGCGGACCTTTACACACCTTTTAAAATGCATAGATTCTTGATAAGTGTCAAGCTTTGAAGCGATCTGCAATATCTACTTAAAACTCGCAAAAATCGACCTATCTACGCTAACCCGGTGTAAAGCGTTGCAATTTTATTTTTGGGTCTTTTTTCTTCAGCTTTTTTTCTTTCTTTACATAAAGATGTTGAGCATAAAAGATTCGGTTGCATTTGGTTATAATTGTCTTACTTATTTTGACTTTGTGTGAAATCGTAAACTCACTGCTATTAGCGCGTTTTACATAAATAATTTATGATCGGGGAAATATACATACATCATATTAGGAGCCGGCGTTTTTTGTTATTACTTGTCTGTCTATCCGTCTGTTTATATGTGTTGAAAGGTGGGTGCAAAAAATTTAGAATTTCGAATCATGTTAACATTAAGTATGACATGCACAACCCCCAAACACAATTTTAAACAAGTGATGCATTTGAGCATGGCGCCAAACATTTTAGGTTACTATGTTATAAATTGTACATGTTGTTCTATTTATATGTTAATGTATATACTAGCAAAACGTTAGATAGTAACAAAACTTTTACGCAACACTTATTACCTATGAGAAAATATCTTAACAAACTATTAATCCCCGCTATCTGACGACTATTTTACGATGTGAATAAATTTAATTCTATTCAAAACAAGGCTCCCCGGCGAACGCTTAAATTCTAATTTGAACAGTAAATTAATCACATCATCATCTTATTCTACAATTCAATAAAACTTAACATGACTCATTCGGAAATAAAGGAAAATTTTTATCCAGTAGCAGATTCTAGTGAAGCAAAACATTCGAGTAGAAGTAGTGAACTGTGAAAGAATGAAACTTGAATGATTTAGATAACATAATTTAAATATCTTGTACAGTATCAAGAATAAAAATCTCTTTTTATCCCGATTTATTAGGAATGGCTTTTTGTTTCTTTCATTAATGCCTTATTTCAAAATTAAATGGAATTAGAATGATTCATTCAGAAACACGATGACGCTTTCATCGAATAGTAGATTCTTGTGAAGCAAAAAATTTGCGTTAACAAGGAAGAAAGAACTTGAATGAGTTCGTTAATTTATACTGTATAGAGAAGTCTGTTTTGCACTGGTGGAATAGAAATTGATTTTTGCTTATTTCATCGGCACCTTATCCCGCAGTCCGGTAAAGCTCTCCTCAGAAACTAACGTTGTCATTTGGAGCAAGAATTTTTTCCATATATTTCGAGCCTGAATGCTCCTTTGTCCTTTGTCTTTCTTTAAAGAGCATCAATGATTTAGAAAATTTCTACAGTATCAGAAAATTAAATCTAATCAAAGCCAGTTCAATGCAAGCGGCACGTTTGTACACCTTCTTAACATTGAAAAAATTCCGAGAACAAAGGGACCATATCCGGCCAAATTACTGACAACGTAAATCCAATTACTATTTCAAAAAAAATTCTCACAATGAAATTTGAATAATTATAATGACAAAGTAAACCGATTAAAAAATATTTTTAAAAAAATAATATAATATTGTACAAGCCAGACAACAAAGATAATAAAAACAGGGCTGTTTGTATGCTTCACTATTAATTTTCAAACCGACATACACAACAGTTTTTGTCTCTAGATTTCGTATCTTCAAAAAACCTACTAACACATGTCGCTACAAAGTTGTTACTTTTTCCATTTTCTATTACTTTACATAACCTGTAGTGCAGGGTGTGCTATGTTCATAAGGATGTATGTAACACCCAAAAGAACTTTAGGAAAACGCACTTTTCATTATTATGCTGATTGATTCAGAATCAATTCTTGAACTGATTCAAGCCTGTCTGTCCGTAAGTCCTCAGATGTCTGCCCATGTATTGTTGTCTTCTACATGCATTTTGCAAAACTTCGTACGCTGGCGTGTTTTGGCCCAAGCATTAACCCTAATGAAAGTGGATTGAATCGAGTTAGTTTTACGAGCACACCACATATGAAGCTCCGTTGTTATGAAAAATTTGGACTGGATGCGCCTATTTCTTGAAAACCTTCCTTTACAACTGTTTCCACAGAAAGTACGTTTTTGGCTGAGTAGGCAAGAGTCTCGACTTTCAAGTCAATTGTCGTGGGTTCAAATGTCAAGTGCGGTAGAGTTTTTAATAGAGCCGAAAGCCTTAGATGCTAGCGCTTTAAAACTTTAGTCTTAGAATTTATTCTCTGGCTAAATTTATAATAATAATAATAATAATAATAATAATATTAAAAAAAAATCTAATTTGTAATATTTTTCTGATAAAAATTCAACATAAAAATAATTTGCATTAAGTTTGGATGATGCCGTTCTATTTTGTGGACCCCACCCCATGGAACAAAAACGTCTGATTTTTAATACTTATTTACGAAGAAAGGTGAAGAGTAATGAGAACAAATTAATTTTGCCAAATTTAAAGTTTGCCAGGTTGTTATGTTTTTTGAACTCTCCTCTATAGGAAACAAGGTACAATTCTTAGTTTTTTATCATGACAATAAACACAGAACTGCAGTAGCAAGCAAAGTGGTGCAGAGTATTTGATGGTCGGTCATGGTCGACTGTAGTGTTTTTACTTTTTTTAACTTGGTCTTGTTGTGAAAGTAATGCTTGACAATCGCATTATTCATTGCATATGTTTGATATCTTTGTTACGCTCACTCTGTTATACAAAAGAAGCCCCACAAGCTTACTTACTGTGTCACTTCATCTCTATCAAGATATAGAAACGTATTAGCTACTTATAAAGATTATATACCTTTTGCAAATCTATAGATTGCTGTAATAAAAAAATTTAAAGTTAACTATAAGTGCTAGGTACACCTTTGTTTCATATCCATAATTAAAGGTTATGAAGAGGATACAAAAGTTTCAAAGGGGCTTCTAAATAATTTGCACACTCTGACAGCGAGCACTCCGATAATATGCCCAACATTTTTTTTTTTTTTGCTACTGAGCAGAAAGACACACCACACACAAGAAGTATTTTTCCCATAAACATTTCATATAATGTATGGGAAACGTTGAAAGGAAGACGTAAGAGCATTTCAGAAGAGAACTTGAAGAATCAAGCCTTGGTACTCATAAATTTTTTTTACATGCAACCAGCTCTATGGCGCACCAGCAATTACTTCACACCATTCTGGTTAACACAATTATTCAGATAACGAATTTTCAATATACTGTGTTATATGAAGACTGTTTGAAAAATTGGGCCGGCTGAATTGATCTATAATAGGGTTCTTTTTTGGGCCAAAACGTCATCATGGTTCATCAAAATATGTTAAAAATTGAGACCTTTGGGGTAAATACAATAATATAAGATGGACAGACGGGCAGACAAACAGATATTCTGAATCGATCGGTATATATACATTGGCACAAAATACATCCAGTATCACAAGTTACGTAGGGTACAGTAGCTTGAAGTCAACGTGGAAGGGCAAAGAAGAAATTCGGAACGCACTTCCAGTAAAAAGCAATAGTGAATATAGGTTTTCCGATATGCAATAAAGAAGGATCATTATTTTCGAGTTGTTTTTGTTCTTATTTCGAAACTAACAAATATGTCTTAAAAGATCAGCTTCATTATCACTTTTAGCGGTCAGTGTGTGATTAACATAGTAGAAGCCAACAAGTCCGCTTCGAGATGGGAGTCGTTTTCCTTCTTTCACTCAAATGGCATTTTGCTTGCTTTAGCTCTGTCGACATACTTTACCTAGAAGAAACATATTCTTTTTGATTATTCACCATCAGCATATCGGCTCAACTACTCCGTTTACAATCAACTTAATCATTCTGTTCGGATACACACTGTAACAGATATTATATAAAAATTAAAAGTCTGTCATTAAGAAAATCTGTTCCAGCAACTAATACACATTTGAACTCGAATTTTAAAAGGCTTACTCTCTCTTTGTAGATCCATTTGTGCTCCTGGATATCCAAGAGGCGTATTTAAACGAATATAACTTCCATATTTTTTTACGTTAGGCAAGTCTCATTGTCAGAAGCAAAAAACAGCATGTACTGGAACTAAATAACATGTTAAAGCCAAGTTGCCTGACGTGGTACGGGAAACTTATTTAAATTTATTCAACCTTTTGAATGTCCGCCATTTGTTAAGAAAAAAATAGATTTTTAATATTTGGCAACATACATCTCCATTTCCTCTCGGTTAGTTAACAAGGGTACTCTTCACGAGTAAGAAACAAAGGTTGTCAAGATTCCTTACAAATATTGCTAAAGTTGGTTGTTTCGTAGCAAGTATATAATGGGAATGTAGCGCAACCGGAGAGCGAAACATACGCTTTGTGGTAATAATTCACATAGAGGCTATTTATTGTTGAGTAGTTGGTTGGCTGGTCGGTTGGTTTGAGTCAATGGCCATTTCTTTCTTTCTCGTTTCTTGCGTGCATGCACAATACATCGACGTTTTAAGACGCCGAGACAAGGAACCAGCAAATCTAATTTAAAGATGATTTTTTGCTTCTTTTTTAACATTCTTTCTTTTGTTTTCACTCTGGTTTTTATCACTCATCCCGAGGGAAAATGAAAATGCAACAGCGTTAGTGAATAGTGAATATAAAGACGTTGCCGAATGAGAACGCCTTGCTATCATATCTAACTAAGCAGACAAAAACGTAGAACAGAATCACACTTGACGTCGTTCGGCGAAGATAACAAACAATACATATCGGTCAATATTTTGTTTGCTTTGTGTTCTATTTTTATTATGTTCTGCCACTTCTAATATAAGTATGGTGGCAGGTTGCATAAAATATAAAAGTATACCTCATGATATGTAAATCTCTTACAGAAAGTGATTAAAAAGTGATAAAAAAACAATTTTTGTTTTTTTTTTTTTGCTAACGACAAACCGATAATTAAAAACTGCATTTTTCTGATGTGACTCTTCAGAACTGCTTTAAAATCAAAATAAAGAAAACTGCGCGAAAAAAGATATTCAAGCGTCACACAATCATTGTCATCATAAGAACATGGCTTCATTGCAGCAAAAACGGCCTTCCATATCGAACTGGTTTTCGTCGCTGCGCCGTCAGCCTAAAAATAAAAGAACTTCCAATTCAGTGGTATATGGCACCGAGAAACCATATCAACGAAGTTGTATAGATCTCAGTGCGAGTACGTTTTACATACCGCAAAGTACAACAACCACAGGGAACGGAACCGGCCATTTGTCAAAAAGTAGTCTTGTTGATGGAGAATGTAAAGCTAAGGCAAAGTTATGTATACGCTGCTGCTCCACCATTTTGCCTACAAAAGCGGAATCTCAAATATCGCCATCAACGCCAACTGTAAATGATCTCAGCACTTCCAATACCAATGGCAAATCATCAGCTAAGCCTCCTTTGCCGAAAAGTCTCTCAAGTCCTCGACAAGAAACTAATTTTACTTCAACTGGTACTACCGCTACTATCACGTCTTCTATAACCTTTGAAACTGAACAGCGCAAGAATATGGAAACTGTACGATTGGCTTCAGTTGATTCAAGCAGTCTTCCCAGTTCGCCCTCAACACCGACCACACCTATACATATCATTAATAAAACTACCGAATTTAAACGTGTGTCAACTACTAAAACAACGAAAACTATCGTTACCTCCCGCCCTGTAGAATTATTACTTAATGAAAAAGGTGAAATCATTCTCAAGCGACCAAAATCTCTAGAAAAATCGACGCGTTCCAGCAGCTTAGGCTGCGTTTTAGACGATGAACAGAACGATCAGTTCGATGAAAGTCCTTCCATCTGTGATAGTCCCCGTACGTTGGCTTTAAACGGTATCGATACTGACTTGAAATTTATCGATGATAGTTCAACATCACAAAGTGAAAATGAACGCAACTCCCAGCAAAGTTGTCTTGGAATAGCAGATAAAGAGAACTTCCTCTCAAAATCTTACGCGAACCCAGATTCTATCAAATTTTGCACTACTCCACGTTCCATGAGTTTGTCAACCCCTAACAACGATAGCAATCGTGGTTCTCGAAAACAGCGTTTTAAGGCTGGCCTTAAATATAATGATAATTACAACAATAACAACAATAATAATAATAATGTCGATGATTTGTGCGATGACTGTCGCAACGTTATTGAAAGAAATTTGAATAATCGCTTAAAACAACAACAATTAAAACAACAAAAATACGCAAATGCTGTGATATATCCGGATATTAAGGTAAAATGTTTTCATATAAATTTTCTGCATTAAGTAAACTTCTCACATATAAAACAATAACTAAAATCGTAATGAGTTATTTCGAAATTTTTAAAGACTTTTTTCTTTTTTTTTTTACGTATAAAAAGGCGACGATCAGAAAGAAATGCCAAAAAAAAAAAAAAAAAATATAGAAAGACATAGGGAGTGCCTACAGTCTGGTGGTGGGTACCTGCAAAATCAGTATCTGTTTTGCCCCTACCGACTGAGCACTCGCCAGATAGCACTGCGACGTATAACCGAATTATTATAACCGAATTATTATTAAAAAGAAATGCTTTCTGCGATCGTAATTAATGGAAGACGACTATTCATAATTGAATTTACCCTGCGATTAAAGACCGGCCCACTAACGAACCATTGAGGAATTGTACTTGTTTGAAACTCATGGCTTGAGCTTACGGTTTTGTACAACGCATGCCTGAAGTTTAGTTACATACTTTGGCAGTCAGTTCACCTTATATTCCTGACATTATTATAAATTGAAGCAAGACGATGTTTCCGGTTATAATTACATAATTATATGTTTTTTTTCCAAACCATAAACGATTTTCAAAATCAGTAAAGAAAACTAGAAACTAAAGAATTTTCAATCACAAACGCACTTAAAACACTGGAAACTTTTATACACAGTGTAACGACTTATCCGTGTAGGTACGTAGAAGTTAACAAGCATCTAAGATATTTCTCTAATTAAAGGCAAATAGTTTTAGTTAAGAAAAGAAAACAAGAGCCAGTTTACCGCTACGTTTTATTTATAGCCAATCCTGACAACTGTGTTTAGTTTGCCGCTGCTTAGGTTGTTTGGTCTTTATATACAGAATTTGTTTAGGCTTTATATGCAGACCTTATTTCATTTGCTCTTCTTACTTTTAAAAGCTCCGATATTTTCAAAAAAATAATATGAGATGTTGATATTGTAGTGATGAGTTTGCTTTAATTGACTTGAAAGCGAAGAGACTTTACAACTGACTCAACATAGTAGTAATTTTTCGGAATGCACTAGATTTTAGCATAAAAATTAACGCAGCAAAGAATCAACATTTTGCACAGGGCATGAAAAGATTCGACCAAAACCGGACAACATTTCCTTGCTGCTATTCCATGTACGTAATTAATAACAGGCGATTGTATCTCAAATTATATATCAGACACGACACGACATGTAACAATTCTTTTTTAAGCTTTACTCAAGGCACTTGCTTAAAATGTTGTTTCTTTATGTGAATCTCTCCAAATGGCCCATGAAAAATGTGAGCTGATGAAGTTGCACTCTCCCTCTCTCTCTCTCTCTCTCTCTCTCTCTCTCCCCCTCCCTCTCTCTGGTTACAAAAATAACTTAGTTTTACGTTAAAGTTGCTTTTTTATAAAACATTTCGCTTGTGTTCAGAAAACCGGCTGGATTTTCAGTTTTATTCTTTGTCAGGCCAAGTAGACCGACCGGCTTTGTTGGCAATGACATCTAACTCATAATTAGTATAGTTGATTAAAAAACTTGCCTATTTTTACATTTGTATAAATGAATAATCACTTTTCAACTTTTGCAATATGTCCTTCGTATGTGAAGGACGGCTGTTCATAACGCTATGCGTGTAGTTCGCAAGCGTGTAGGTACAGACGTTAATCTTATGTATGTAAGATTTGGCATAAAATAGCTTTTTAACTTAGAAATTTTCGAAAATAGCAATCAATGGCGTGACTTACAAGAAGAACTTGCCGCAATGAATACATAATTGCCAAAAGTGAGATCTAGAGTTTTTTAGCGTTATATATGTCTTGTAGATTTATGCAGGTAGGAAAGTCTTCCAAACATCCTGACAAGAGGCAAAAATTTATAAATGTCTATATGGGGTTCCGTGCATATCAAGCGCCAATGACTTTAATACAATCTTCCAAGTGATTTCTATGGGAAAATGTAAAATGTTCCTTCAATGAATAAATCACATGGAGTGTATAAGCTTGCTGCTGCCGTTTTTTTCACATTCGAGGCTTTATTATAAAAAAATGGTCGTACCTTCACTATTCAACATGTTATCCATTGCTGACCACTACTTACTTATGTTATCTTTTAAAAATACTATGAATTCCGTGCAAAAAGGCCATCAACGAAATAACCCATAAATGAATATCGTCATAAGAATGGAAGCATCATTCGAACAACTAATAAGTCCATTATTGAAAGCAGTGTCTGTCGAAAGGAGTGCACATCACATGGAAACCTTACAACATCTATAGGCATTTTAAGCCAGTTTTGATAGCAGTTTACTACACCTGTTCACAGCTCCAAGGAACTATGTTGGGTACGCTTCAAAGCGATAGCCTATGCAATTGCATATATAGCTTTAAGATAGTACTTTCAAATAAAGAACCTGTAGTACCACGGCCCTTCTCTCTTAGAAAAGGTTGGAGTCAAATGCATAGATTCAACAGCTTTAATCAATTTACACATTAAACTAGCTTGTGCGAAGCCAATTTGTCATTAAGAAGTTTCTTTTTTTAAAAACATGAATGTTCACATATTGTAGTCCTAGAAGATATCTTTCAAACTAAACACTCCTTACAGCATTGCTGGTGGAAGCAAAGCTGGTTATGTCTTGTCCCAAGCATTAACAGTCAAAACAGTATATTCTTCGAAAAAGAATGGAATTATGCTTCAAAACCGAAATTCGTACCAAATAGTAACACGTTGTGGACGCCTTCGTTTCTCAACAGTCTCTCACGGGTTTTCTGAAGCCTAAATGCGACATATTTTACCGCTTAACCCATCCATCAAGATGAAAATGAACCACGTTACTATTAACAAGATTTTTTAAAAAATCAGCGTCCCCTTACTCCATATTCTCCCTTACTCCATATTCCATAAAAATTTCTCCAAAAAGAAAGCGAACTTTTTTTTGTATTGCTCTCCATTCTTACCTTTTTTGCCGTATACTTGTCATAAGAAATGCTATTCGTATCGTTATCTTGAAGGAAGACATATGAAAACGTTTAAAAAAAATATACATTTTGGACAAATCGCTCGAAAGGCACCATCGGTAGTGTAACAGAAACTGAGGACCTCTCTGTTTTCAACACGATAACCATATCAAGTCCTTTCTGCTTTTCTTATAAGTTACAGCAAACACAATAGTGATTCTACAATATTTGTATACAAATGGGAGAAGATCGACCGAATTTATACAACGTTATAGAGTGTCGAAGTTTCATTCATTTGATCTGAAATTGTTTTTATTTTATTTATTTTCCATAATGCCACAAATTTATCTTTATACGATAGGATTATTTCATCGATGAAATAAATTTTGTTTGTCAACAACGAACAAAAAAAATTTACATTTTCTAAAAAACTAACAAGCAACACTACACTACTTGTTTGCCATTATTAATTAACTCTGCCGAGCATAGAAATTTTACTCCATCGTTGTGTACTGTTATACTGGTCTTCGCTAAAACATAATTAAACCGTTGAAAGGTTAATAACCCTGAACTGTCAATTATATCACACAGTCTTCTTTTTTCTTTTTTTTTTTGCTGGTACAAACAACGAAAAAACTAAATCTTCAGCCAAGGGTTCCACTCAAAACTTTGAAAAAATTAACTAAGAAATTCGTCCACTGTCGGAAAAAAAAACAAGACGGCATTTTGGAGATATTTGCATTATATATTTTTGTTTACAGTTTGATACTCTCCACCTATGTGGTACAAGGGCCTATTAAGCTTGTGGGGATATATACAACACCTAGAAAGACTTCACTTTTACCAACACCTATTGATTTGAAGACATTTTCTGGGGCGATCTGAGCTTGAGTTTCCGTCCATCCGCAAGTCTATCTTATTTCGTGATGCTCAATCTAGAGGTTGTATGGTGCATCAACATGTTTTGGTCCAGAGAGGAACCCTATCGAATATGGTTCGGAACGGATAATCCCTTCGAGCGCTTCTCCGTATAACCTGATTTTAAAAAGTGCTTATATGGATTACTGTATTATTCGCTATCTAATGATGAACTGTGGCCTACTAAAGTATTTTTACTTGTTCGATTTCGGATTACGTAAGGGAAAATTTATTTGTTGAAGGGAGCTCTGCGTAAGCTCTAGTTGAGTTCATAACTTCTAAAAAAATGATCAAATGCTATGCTGCGGTTCCTGTTTGAAATAGAATTCACAGTTCGTGTCCCAAATTTTGCCCTCAATTATGGCCTTCTTGCTCAATATAAGAGGACTCCCCCCTAAGTAGGTGACAATAACTTACATCAGCGTGCAATCATAGGCAACTTGTGAAATTTTGATATCATAATTAGAAATTTTTTTCTTATTTAACGTTATCTGTTAATTTAAAGTGAAATGACAAACGAATTTTGAGATTGCAATATGAAATAATAAATATATTTAGTTCAAATTTCAAATCAGCCTTAAAGCCTTACAGTGTGGATACCACTTCTCATATTAGTTCTTTCCCTTTAACAGTGAGTGGCTTTGAATATGTGTTATTCATATCGGCAACCCTGTAAACCATTACTTTATCGCACATTTGCAATATAAACATCATAGCATACGACAAAAGTAAATCAATTGCAACATAGAGACTAATTTGAAAAGCAGTGACTGATGTGAGCTAAATCGTTACAAATAACAACATACTGTTATGAAATTCACTTTTCTAAGATAGGACTCGTACTACCAGATCGTAGATATTCTTTCCTTAAGAGTAGGATTATTCTTAATTTATTTTTGGCAATACTTTCGATTGCTCAACTCTTATGTTCCTTTTTGTTTTTTGCTACTCTGCCTTCTACAATTATTCTATTTACATAGATTTTTACAAGCATATTTATTTATGTAAATAAATTCATGGCTTCATTTTTAATCCGTTAACTTGCTTTTTCGCTAATCTTTTTCATCGGCCGGCAGCTGCATGACGCGCCGCGAATGCGCATTTGGTTTTTCCCTCTCTAGGGAATTTATTATTTAGGAGAATTGATTAGCTGGAACGAACTGGATTTGGCCTTTACGTAACAATAGCATGTTAAATTATATAGTTAAATAAAAATAATATCCAATATTATATATATAAAAAGAAATATGTAAATAAAACCCTTTATTTCAAGCCAGAAAAGCATTAAAACCTTTACATGTAAATCTTTTTGAGCCTTCATTTTATAGCTTACAGCTAAGTAACAAGAAATTCAAGTCAAGACTTTTTATTTTTTTAGTTTATTTGTTTATTGTTTTTAAAGACTACCTTAAAAATGTACTCATGCAAATAAAGTAGAATATAATGTTTCACATAATTGCGTTACATATCAGATGTACCCTCTGTGCATATACATATGTGCGTTTGTCAAGTGCACAAATGCGTGTGTTTAGGTAAACATTCTTGATGGCTTCTACACTATATTGTAAGAAGAATAAAATGTCAAATTGACAATTACTTGACGAACATAACGATAATAGCAACAAGAAAATATCTAGATCATTGTGACAGCGTCTTTCTTTACATGGGCTAATGAGAAGCCACTCAAGTTACTGGTTGATAAAATGCATCAGCATAAATAGTAAAGTTCTTCTGCATATTGCTTTATCGTATTCTCTTACTACGCATACATACTACTCACGGACGTCACATTGAAGACCTAACAAGAAATTTTACAAACCTAAAATATGCTGATATTTCCAATTCCGTTTCTGGTTTATATGATGCTTCTTCGTCTTCATTGTAATTTTAACTTGAAAGTTGCTGATAGCAATATTTCGAAATGGAAGCGTTTACGGATGGATGGACACTTTTAAAGCTGACATGTAGGAACGGAACACACTCTCTAAGTTGCAGCTCTTTAAGTAAACTTTTGCCATCGTTTGAGTTTCATTGACATTACGTACTCCGAAAATCCAAGAGGAACATATGCATTTCACAAAATCCCTAACTGAGCGCATTTGCAAGTTACGTAAGAACGTAAAAGCTAATATGAATGCAGAACACGCTTGCGGGCACTGAACGCTTGTCGATTTTAGTTTTCATTATTTTTTCTTGAAAATGACTATTTACAATAAACAGCAAAACATCCAAAAACAGACAAAACATAAGACAAAACCAAATCCGCATATTGTGGTTTGATGTATTACAAAAATTAATTTATTTCTTTAGAGAGAGAGAGAAACGTATAAAAATTTATCGATACACATTTTCTATCTCATTCTTTTTCCGTTTTTATACGAGTCCATGTTACCAAATCATACGAACGTAGTCGTAAGTTTTTCAAAGTTACACAGACCCATCTCGTATATTAAGGTGAGTTATAGCCCGATCAATACATATTTTAAGAATTCAATTAGAAAATCTGCTTACTGAGCGAAAGTAGCCGCTTTACTTTACTTTAACTTTATTTAACCGCCTCCAGGTGTAATGCTACAATTTCAAAATTCTCAAAATTAATCAATGAAATCTCAATTTAATTTTCATAAGCCGAATTTGAAGATACACTTAACCTAAAAACGAGTAATTAAAAGGCAATTATAGGCCCATAAAATTTCAAATCGTTAAATAGTGATCTAATATTTGACAGCAAAGCGTTAAAATCATTATCGATATCATTTACTAAGAAGCAAAAATAATATAGTGGGCCACGGCCCACCTACTTAACCTACTTAAACTACTTGACTTCACAGGTCTTCATATAACGGAAAAGTGGTTCGGTCCGAACCATTTTCAATGGCGTTCGTCTTTAGGTAAAACCACCTCAGTGTACCAGTGAAATCAATATACCAGCGTACCAAAAACGGTGTAGGCCGTAAAGACGATTTTTCGGTGCCAACGGACCCACTGTATAGTGTATGAAAATTGTCTTGCCAACTGCTCTGTGGTCCATTTCTTTAAGTTGTGTCATAGTCACGAAGAATAAATGTGTAACAAGCATATATATACATACGTGTATCGTGATTTCAACGATGCATATTTGCATACATTGAAAATGAAAGGTTAAAGGAAAGTCAACGTCTTTGTTAATGGTTGATATCAACATGTGAAAATTATTTCATCAATATTTTTGTAAGGCATAAGTTAATTTCAATGTGCGTGCCATGAGGAATGTGTCTCCACGAAGGTCGGCTTGATGTCTTACTCATTAAATAAATTCGATAAATTTAATTTAATCTATTTGCAAAATGTTGAAGAGTTGAGAACAAGTAATTTATGCACATATACACATAAACATAGGAGAGATTCTTGTGAGGAAGAACTTTAAGAACATCCAGACATTCCGAGATTTACTTTCTTTCTTTTATTTCGCTTTTTGGTGTATTATCAATAAGTTTCCTATGAAAACTAAGCAAATTTTTTTGTGAACGAAAATATTCGGCCGTATGTGTTTAAAGATCTTGCGATCTTCAATCCAATTGTGTACTTGAGATGTTTTGAATCTATTATTTTTCTAAAACACATAAGAGGCGAATTTTCGTGAATTTAGCCATTTTCGTCTGTGCATTCGCCATCGTTTATTGAAGATTATAAAAATTAAAGAATATTAAAAATAATTAAATTATGAAAGCAGAACTTTTGATTTCAAGTCTTAATATATTTCTACAGGAAGGTATGAAAGTGAAAAAATCAGGCGGAAAGGCAATAATGCTTCAAAATTTTCCTAATAAAGATATATTTGAACCGACCAACTGCTTCGATCAAAAGTATTTAAAAATTTTTTATATTGCATACGGATGCAATCGGTTGCGACCGGATGCATATTTAATATTCACTACAAGCGCTTTTAAGCACTGAACACAATGAATGGAGATGTAGGGTGCAATATGCACTAAAATGTGAAAATATGATTTCATGGTATGTGTCTACATAGCTTGCATTGTAAATGCATGCTGGAGTAAAAATTATAAAAAGAAAATTATTTTCCATGGAGCACGATGCAAATGTATTTCAGTGCTGCAGTCCTCTTAAATAAAAAAAAACTTTTTTTTTTAAATTATTTCGTAAAACAAGTTTTTTTTTTTTTTAATTACAGCAAATCAAAGATGAGCTTTGTGAAGTGGTTTCTGAGATGGAGGCGCTCGACGTGCCTGAAGACTGCAAACATTCCAATAAGGACAAACAGATGTCCATAGGACGGAAAAAGTTCAATATGGATCCGAAAAAAGGTATTTTGTAGCTTTGCCCACTTAATCACTAGAAACAACATTTACTAAAGTCTTTCTTCGATTCTTTACCACTTACAATCCAATATGAAAGCATCTTTATCCTGCAAGTAGCTTTCACTTGTTCTTTCATAAGGTCAATGCTATAATTTTATATCAGTTCACAGAAGCATTTCTATCAAAATTATCTGCTTAAGTTCATTTAGTGATTTAAAGGAGAAGCCAAACCATAAGAGTGGGAATTCATGTGTTACGCGCTGCAAGAGTAAGAAAGCCCTTTGGCTTTAAAGTAAATCATACGAATCTACAGCATTTGCAGAAATTGGCAAAGCTTCCTTTTAGATTTGATAAAGATAGCGTTACATTAGATCCCTCAAGTTATCCTGATATCGTTTTGCATCAAATTTTAAATAAAAATCTTCTATAAATTGGAAATGCAAAAATATTGCGAAAATTTGTTCCTTTAGTTTCTCTTAGACATGCTTAGCTACAAATCTCATACTATTTCAAGTTTGTTCTCTTTTATTAAATTAAAAGATGTGGACCTTATAATTATGCAAATTTAGCCCCCTAAACTAAGACAAACACGGCCCGAATACGAGTACGAAAGATGAACTATAATAAAATCATGTCTTTTTCTTACTGAGACTATGAAGATTTTATGTAGTCTGAGTCGTTTTCAGGGACCATGGTCAGTGTATATATTCTCGACTAGCATCAAATTACGAATCGATGTAAGCATGTCCGACTGGTGTAAACATTCCCGTGGTCGCAAAAACGAAGCTGTCGGCTTCAAAATTGGTACAAGCATTGAAAGTTCTTGGCCGCAGCTTGGAATTGGAAATGGGCTGGATCGGTCGAAGGACGCACCTATACTACCTTCTATGTTAAGAACGTCTCGTTTTCAAGTGCAGCAAACATTGGATTACTCATAAACAACAGCGCGTACAACCGGGCAAAAGTTGCGCCGACAAAGTGCCTACCTGTTGCAATTCACTCAACTTTATTTCATGTCTTACAGTACAGAGTACAGTAAAAGATCCCTATTCGCGGTTTCACTATTCGCGGATGAAAAAAATGCGCAATTCCCATATTCGCGGCTATAAATTTCTTTATTCGCGGTTTTTGAGAATGTAAACAAACAGAATGAAAGGAACCTTATTACTCAATGAACAAAGTATTGTTGCGAAAATCTCAAATGTAGTTCATTTCAGCTGAGTAATTTCCCCAAATAACAAATTGCCTAAAGAGGCTGTGCTAAATCCACATTCGTATTCAATTAAATTGATTTTTTATATATTTTTTTTTTTTTTTTATTTTGTCACCCACATAAATTACCATTCCGTGTTCGTGTTTTCTGTATTCGCGGCATTTTTATGGAACGTATCCCTCGCGAATAAGGAGCTTTTACTGTATTGTTTTTCTTGCCCAGAAATTGAGGTTAGTTTCGGCAAAGTGTAGTACAAGTGTCTACGACTAAAAAAAAGCTTAGGCCGCTTTAGATGAATTTTTTAATTAGTTTCTTCATTAAAAAACTCTAAAGATCGTAAATTTAAATAAAGCTTTGAGCGCTAAACAAATAGATATACAAAATTATAAATGCTAATGCACCTGAGCATAATGTAAAAAAATTCCTTCGACGAAACCATTGGCGAGAGCTAAATAGTAAATAGCAAATCATTCCGAGTTTTGTTTTTGTTTTAAAAGCGTAATGGTAGTGATAATAGGGACAGGTTTAGTTTTCTTATTTAATGAGATCTCTAATAAATTACTAATGTACTTAACATAATCCAGTTATTTCACTTATCATTGTCTCTAAATCGATCTTAAAAATTGCTTTAAATTTCTCCCAACTCGTTGAGATATTTTCATTAGTCATAAAGTAAACAATTATCTCCAGTATCGCGCGCACACTTTACAAATTAACGCAATTAAACTAAGGTAAACAAGGCCAAAATATAAATGCTAATAATAACAAATTAATCCCATCGTAATGATCGCGAAGTAGAATAGAAGATAGCAAAAGTAGGTGTACGTAAAGTATGTTAATCGTAGACCTACGATGACGGTATTAACATAATAAATAAATAGTGACGCAAATCTAACAACAATCAACTGATAAGAAGCAGCGGCCCAATGAAAGCAGTGCTTGCGTCATAACGAAGTGGGAAAATATTTCAACGGTGTTAAGGTGTTTGTTCATGCATTTGAGCAATTGATTACAAACAATCGCACTTCTTTTGGGCGAAATAATTGGATGAATTGAAATGAAATGGTTATACGGAATTGCAAACATTGCAGTTTATTCAACATATAAGGAACGCGCCGTTACTATCTTTTACAAATGTTTACCTAGTTACTTGTTTGTTACTTGTGCAATTGGGTTATTCAAATTAATAAAGTCACTCGCTTATATAGATTTTGAAAGGCTTCAAAAGCGACTAGATGTAAAGGCAGCCGAAGTTAAATAACTAAATTAAATATTGATCGGCGAAAATTGGGAACAAAAACGAGTCTTGACTTCTACATAAGAGAAACTGTGTGGCGCTTAACTTATTCAACTTATAGTACTTTGCGATATCTATGAGTTCTATTTACGTTACGTTACATTCATCAATTAAGGGAGGGGACACTGTACATTTTGTACATTTTTTTTTTATTGGCGTAGGAGATGCTTTGAATACGTGAAAAAAGTGCATTACTCTGGACTTTTTTCCAAACGGGCCGAGAGCAGTGATTTTGAACCGGAACACCTTACAAGTTCTGCCTGTTGATTTCTTATTTCTTTGTTCCGGTAGCAGATATTTTTAAAAAGCATTTATACTCATTAACTGGCGTCTCCAAATAAAAATACGCTCGTGTAGTTTCGTCGAGACGACTGAGTGAATGGTTCTAAAGTTGAGAGCAATTGGAAGGGGACCAATGTAATGCTTCTATCAAGAAATTAAAAGTTTGCGGAGCAAATTTTAATGTTAGTTCTTAGTTGGTCTGTAAATCTTTTTTACTGTTTTCTCTGCCATTTTGCAAAATCTGAAGTATAAAACTCACGCTTTTGTCCTAGAGTCATGCAACGAAAGTGAGGCCTTCTAGGATAAATTCGTTGAGGAATGGCAATTTGGAGGAATGTTTGAACATGACGCAGGGTTTATGTAGCTTTTGTATTCTAGATTAATTCTAAAAATTAGTACAAGATTTTTTATAACATAAAAACCGTGCTGCAAGATAGCGTTCCAACCCTTAAAGAGAGTTTTTCTCGAAGCTTGATTTTTGTAAACGGCTGAGAAGACAGCTTCTACAATTTTCACCCTTTTCTTATTCGAATTTCGTAGAATATTTTTAAAATAACTTTCCCTACCCGACACTGTAAGAGATTTTTGATAAATTAAACTTATATGAGAAATTATATCTGTAAGATTTTTTTTGATTCAAATTTGCACCAACAACAGCGAGCTCCTTTATTAAAAGCCTCTTTAATTAAAGATAACTCGCGAGAATAACTTCGGAGTTAGCATTTTTTTATTTCCTATGCCACTTGTGGCACATGGGTATATTGAGTACTCGATGTAGATCCATCCTCTGCTTCTCTGCCCGGCTTATTTTCTTGTGTTCAAACTATCAGGATATAGGTCGCAATTTTTGGGATATTTTAATGAAATTTGCTACACTGACATGTTTTGGTTCATGAAAATGGGTCGTATCATCTCTTCGACCGGTCCCCATATATCGTGACATGAATAGCTAGATCAGTCGACGTGATATGGGATACTCAATAGTGGTCTGTGTCCTACTATTGTACTTTTATTCGGTTTTTAATACTCAAATATACGCCTAATAACCTTTTTCAACACTAGTGTTCTTTTACTTTATAATTCCAAAAAAAACACCTTTTTTTAGACTTCTGCAATGGCTTCCTCTTTTAAAGGAAGCTCTACATTTTAGATAACATATTTCAAGCAAACGTAAGCAAACGCATTGCGGTCATGAGAGCGCTTACGGTTTCAGTTTAATTTCCGCCTTTCGAATAAATTATTGTGCGCAATATGTTTCGCATGAAATTGATTGACTATCACATAGGTAGTGAACGCGCCCTTAGTTCAATGCATTATAACCATAATAATAATTTGATATCTGCATAACCATAACTTTGCACGTACGCTTAGGTATGTGCACTTTTCATATTTTTATAAACGTGTATAAAATATCATCTAAAAGTTTGCAATTTATTATTGCGTTTGACTGTAATAACCGCAGCTTGTTTATGTTTTGGCTCAGTGATCAGACAATACCATCAATTTTGAAAGCAAATATCCTAAAATCTGCGGCTTTTTGATTATAATTTTGAACAATATCTTTATAATTATTTTTTAATTAAAGATCAGCGTAGTGAGATTCTATAATGACTTCATCGAATATATGTTTCACTGAAGAGAGAAGCAAAGGTAAACAAGTAAGAACATAATACTCAACCGCAACCGAATAATGTATATGCATCACGTTTATCCTAAAAAATACTGAAAAAAAGGAAAACAGGAAAAAACGAGATTTCCATACTCTATAATTTTGCGTGGGTGTAGTTGACTTTCCCCACAAAAAAAAGTCCAAATTTTTTTATACTTGAAAACATAGTCGCAGGTTATTTCGTTCTGTGGTTATATCCATTGACCGATTTGGCTCAATCGGAATATTAACCTTTGTGCCAAATTTGAAGCCGATTGGCGCATTTTTGCGACCAAGAGAATACTTACCACGGCCATTACAAAATCAGATAGACAGAGAGATATGCTTTAATCGGCATTTGATGTTGATCAAGAACATATATACATTATAATACTTCTTATCCTTCTTCTGGATGTTGCAAACGCCTTGACAAAATATATATATCCCTCATTCTTCGATGAAGGGTATGAAAATAACGTAACTTCTTTAAAATCCTAGAGACGAGAAATTGTTAGAAAATAGAATTGAGAACAAACAATATCAAAATTAACATCCATCAAATTCTAGATCCATATCTGTCGCACATTGTAAATTTTTGAGAGCAAAGGTAGGAACTTTTTTTAGCCTTTGAAGTTGTTCAACTATGTTCCACAATCAATTAAAATTGAGACCTACAGCAACAATTTTTAATTTACTATGGCCTATACAAAATTCTGCTGGTCTTTAGATTATACATGTAGTGTAGGGTAACCAATGCCTACTGGTATGGTGGTATTATATTTCGATTATTCAGATTCTTAGATATGAACCTGTTTTAAACTTTACTTTCTAAACTGTTTAGAAATTCTATATCAATTTAGAATCTTATGGCTTTGAGATTTCAAACATTATGTGGGAAAAGCGGGCATCAAACGAATATGATACAATCTATTCAATCTCCTCAAGTATATGCATGAACGTCTGAAAAAGGTTTTACGGAAGCCTGGGAAAATAGTCATGAAAAAGCAGTGTATAAGAATTGGAATGAAAAAGCTTGTAGATGACAAGTAAGTTGCAACATGAATCCTTTCACCTTTCCATTGAAATTTTTTCTGACAATATTTTTTTTTTGCAATTACAATTAGAACGAACCCGTTTTCAATGCTATTACATTATTTTGAAATACATTCTAATTTGCTTTTTATTTGAGTCATTTCTACTGTGGGTAGTGATTAATTCCACACGCAATTAGCTTACAATTTCCCTTATTTCACTTATGCCCACTTGTCTGCTTTTGAGTTGATTTTCACGGCATCCATTCATTGTCTGCTTGAAAATTATACAAGATTATGGTGTCTGTAGTTGACACGTTTAACTGTAATGCGATTCGGCACCAATTAATTAAATATGCCATAATATTACATCAAAAAAGTAATTTTCTCTTCTAAATCAGTTGTTATTTTGTAATTGATTCCCTAAAATAGTTGACGTGTGACATATAAACCCAATGAAATTGCGTTTGCACATATATATGTGTGCTTACAAGCTTACGAACATATTATATGAAATTGCGAAGAGCCGTATCGTCCCAGTAAAGCAGAGGTATCAGTAGCCTTGTCTAATAGCCAGCTGTCCGCTATTATTGCACCCATTAAAATAAAAAAAAGGATAAAAAAAATTGAAATGAAATCGAAAAACTATGAAACAAAACAAAAAATAAAATAATATTATAGTCAGGCAGTGCCGACCACTACATTACCTACAACTCTTCGCCGAGTGCAAGTTTTGGTAATAATACACCAAAAGGAACACATTATTGTCAGGCAAAGCCATAATGTTCATGAAAGCCTGCATATCGGAAGGTTAGCTTTTCTCTACATATGCGAGTTTGCGTTTCGTGACAGCGCCTATATGTTAGCGTCCAAAAGAATAGACCTCTATGATTCAAATTCCCTATCGTTAATTTTTTGGTTGAAAAATTACTATGCATTTGATCATAAAATATTAAAAATTAAGTTGGGCCCAAGAAATAGACCCATGTGGTTTTAATTACGTCTACATAATTTTTACATTTAATTATTATCAAATACAAATATTTATCATAAAAAAATTAATAATGAGGTGTTTTTGGCATATAAGGATTTACTTTTCCTGAGCATTCTTATATGCGGTGGTGCCCACAAAATAGACCTACGGTAAGGTTTCTTTGCCAATTTACTATTATGTAACAATTGACCATGAAATATTGAAAATTGGATCTTTGTACCATAAAGAATCAGTTTTGCAAAGAAAGATTGTTTGGAAGGGTGTTCAAAAATGTAGTCCAGCCGGTTATTTAGCCAGTGTTGTAGAGAAATTTGGAAAATTATTCTTCTTTTAAAAAATTGCTTCAAAATAGCGGCAAACTCAGTTATAAACTAAGCCCTGCATAATTAATGACACACGTCTTCGTTGTCTCAAGAAAATAAGTTGAGCAATTAGGGTGAACGCTACCAAAGTGCAATTCTATCTCTTACGGCAATTAAAAGCTATTGAACAACTCCTCTATTTTGTTGATATCAGTGTAAAAGAATCGGCAGGTCTTGGTATTTCGGACATAAGCACACAAAACGTCTTTCGTTATGTAACATCTGTATTCAGTATTGAAAAAGCGCAGGCAAGGGCCTAGGTCGTTTAAAAGCCTACAAAAAATGCTCTAGATCTTGTCTGAAAGTTCTCGACCGCGTAAAGCTAAACGAGAGGTCGAGAAAATATCCAAAACTCTCCACGACCTTGAGAGTGTAAATGTCCCCGCGCAGAAAGTGGTCATTGATATGCTTGCAGATACATTCAGTGTAAATGTTCTGCAGAGGTAAAAGAGGTTTGTCCACCAATCAAATCCCTTAACAGGGACTTATCGCTCGCTAATCGCATTGCCCGTCTTTGGAACAACATGACGGTCTTTTCAACGTTTCTATATGTTTTCACTTTTAAATCATATGTACCCAAATACTGCTTCCTTCGCTCTTTGCCTATGAATCTTCCCGGGCCTAAGAATATAAGAAGACTCTCCCCTTAAGTCTAACGATAAGGTACGTAGTATATAACTTATAAACCACCGTGTGGGACCAAAACGAAGATCCAAACTTTGGTTCTCGCTATATTTAAATGAATGGCATTGGCATTGCCTTGCTGTGCTTTGAAAACTTAAATGAAAAGAACGAAAGAAATCATTGTTGCCATGGAGCTGATAAGTAGTTACTCCGTTGTGGTCATCGGGAACTTGAATACTTAAAGAATTTGTCGAATACCTAATAAATATAGCAATCATATAAGTAGTGGTTAAAAGTCTAAAAATATGTTTAAGATAAAAATAACGTTTCTATGTTTTTAAGGCAGTTAGGCCGTATTCAAAATCCAAAGTCCAAAAGTGCGAGCCCTTTCAACCAACTAAAGTCTTTTTTTCGCCTTTTAATCAAACAAATCTAACGAATTACTTATCTGCTACCACACAACCTTTAAAAAATTTTTATATATTTTTTATTTGCTTTATTTCCAGGCATCGAATATTTAGTCGAAAATCGTTTACTACGGCATGATCCACAGGATGTTGCACATTTTCTTTACAAAGGTGAAGGCCTCAATAAAACTGCAATAGGTATGATATTTATGTAAGCATTTATTTAAGACAAACATATTCTATACATATATATGGATGTATATATCAGAGAGGACAGAAAAGAGCAAAAATTTTTTATGCCAAAATGAAATGAAGAAAAAGAAAATGAAGATTAAACAACGCAGACAATGGCGCATATCGCACTTAAAAACAAAAAAAAAAAAAGCTCAATACAATAAATAAATAGACAAAAAATACGATTTTTTGACTTTATTTTTTTTTTTTTCAAATACGTAAAAATAAAAGCAAGAATGAAGAGTCGTTCGCTTAACTTTTTCACTGCAAAGACTGAACGCTTGTTTTATTAAAAAATTTATTTAATTATTTAAAAATTATGTGGTAAAGGCTTAAGGTAAATTAAACTTATTTTGTTGTAAATCTGCCAATGCCCCAGAAGTAATGCAACTTATCACAAAAATGTTATCCTTACTTACTTAACTACTTATTTATCGAAACGCAATCATGTGTGAAAAATAAGCGGTAATTTTCATAAAATTATAATTTGTAACGGTTACGTTACGTTAATTAAATATCACTGATTAAGTAAACATTAAATATACCCTTCATCGTCCTTGGTGCAAGGGTATATTAAGTTTGCGCTGATATATGCAAGAGCCAGAAGGACTTGAGATAGACCCATCTTTTACTATACCGATCGATTCGAAAAATGATTCGGAGCATGCCTGCCCGTTTGCCTGTCAAGAGGCGAAAGTTTTTTAAATACTTTGATGAAATTGGCCGCACTGGCTCGGAGTGGATCAATGGTCATTGGTCATTGGTTCCTTTCCCATATAAAGACTTATCTTGAAGAGTTATTTGAATAACTGTAGGATGGTAAAGAGTATTTAATACTGGGCCATGCCCCACTACAGTGTTTTTACTTTTTTCACACTTAAAAATTGCAAAGATGCAATAAATTACTTTGTCTTTTTTTGTTTTAAATTCCAGGTGATTACTTGGGAGAGAACAATGACTTCAATAAAGACGTTTTGAAAGCATTTGTCGCTTTACACGATTTCACAAACTTAATACTAGTTCAAGCTTTACGGTGAGCTTAACAAACTCTGAATTGAAACTTCAGAAGAGAAGTAAGATTTGTTTTTTTATTTCAAAGACAATTTTTATGGTCGTTTCGCTTGCCTGGTGAGGCTCAGAAAATCGATCGTATGATGGAGTGTTTCGCTCAACGCTATTGCCAACTTAACCCAGATATATTCACCAACACGGATACCTGCTATGTTTTAAGTTTCGCCATCATTATGTTAAACACTTCGCTACATAATCCATCGGTAAGCAAATCGACGAAATATTTAGTCATATTTTGATTTTTATTAAGGATTTCGTTTCTTTAGCAGCTGTATGTAAATTTTTTTCAAGTCAATCAATAAGAATAACTTTTTCACTATTCCCCTAATCACTTAGATCATTTATTAAGCAATATTTTCAGTTTCGACTTAATAACAGCAGTAAATGAATTACATATAATTCTGAGACGTTTGGAACTATCCGTGAAAAATAAAAATTTGTTTCCCAACGTATAAGGGGACATCCCCTAAGCGATTAATCATATTAAAAAACGGAAAAGAAGAAGCAACCTTGTGGTGACAGAAAAGTTTTAACACCACTTTTTTTGGAGGAAATTCCCTCTCTCTCTCTCTCTCTCTCTCTCTCTCTCTCTCTCTCTCTCTCTCTTTCCGTGCACTGTTTTATACGCGTTTTATTTTCTAAATATTTTCTAATTTTCCAATCAAAAATCTCTGTCGAATCAAATGTGCCTTACCAGCTTCCGTTTAGTGGTTAATTTTTACATATATATGTGTCGCAAGTATTGGCGAGTCTATATGGGTTTTAGATAACGGCTACCTTCAACCGAAATATGAGTTCATCAATGGTAACGACGTCTACAAATCATCCTACTTACAACTTATTGAGTGATGTTTCCACGTCGTATGTTATGTACATGCATACGAAAACTTGAATAAGAAAAGTTGACCCATATTCCAGCGAATGCAGAGATATCAAATAAAAATACATTATGGTGTATACAGTGAATGTAGAAAAGAATTAACAAAATTACTAAAAGTCTAAACGCTTCAATGTGATGGGTGCAGAAACGATTTAATAAAATCCACCTAACTACTAGCGATTTTAATGCAATGAAATCTTCAGATGAATGGCAGCGATCTAAATTTATTTTCTATTTTCTTTTTTCACATTTTAGGTTAAAGACAAACCAACAGTCGAGCAATTCATATCGATGAACCGGGGCATCAATAACGGTGGAGATTTGCCGAGAACTCTATTAGAATCTCTCTATGAATCGATACGAACAGAACCGTTTAAAATACCGCAGGATGATGGAAATGATCTAATGCATACATTCTTTAATCCAGATAAAGAAGGATGGCTTTGGAAGCAAGGGGGAAGGTACATAAAATACATTACATACAATTAATAAAATATTAATAATAATTTGTTGTTATATTTTGCGATAGATACAAATCGTGGAAACGACGCTGGTTTATATTAAATGATAATTGCTTGTATTATTTTGAATATACAACAGATAAAGAGCCACGCGGAATTATACCCTTAGAAAATATATCGGTAAGAAATATTACGAAAAGAAAATCGAAAATTAACATAAATAACAAGAAGCATATCTTGCGCGTGTAGGTGCGGGAAATTCACGATCGTAGTAAGCCAAATTGTTTTGAACTGTTTGCTACGGGTGGGGCGGATATCATTAAAGCTTGCAAGACTGATTCTGAAGGAAAGGTAACAATAATAGTGAATAATAACTCACTGCAGTCGTTCATTTCAATCGTTTCTATTATTATAAATTTGATTGACGTAGGTTGTAGAAGGCAAACACACTGTTTACCGTATGTCAGCCGCTACTGAGGAGGAACAACAAGAATGGATTAAACGCCTAACGCAGTCCATTAGTCATAATCCCTTCTATGATATATTAGTACAAAGAAAAAAAAAGGCTCTAAGTAAAAGTTAGTATTAGTTGTATGCGACAACTATTACCTCAGCTCACTCCCATCTATAACTTATAAATAGCAACAGCAACAGCAACAAATGCAATGCGTTTTGTAAATATCTCATTACCAGAAATATCTGACTTGATTTTGTCATGGAAAGTCTTTCAAATGAGTGTTCAAATTAGTTTATATTTAATGTGTTTGTATGTATTTTGTGTAAATGTATTTGTGTGTATGAAAATTGGCATCAATAGCAAATTTCTAGGAGATATTTTCCTGATTCCGTTTCTAATATTTTAGATGATTTCTTTGTTTATCTACCATATTGTCTTAGATTAATTTATTAATTAAACTGCTATCATATTTATTTATTGCATTTAAAAACAATTCAAGAATTATATCTGCTTAATAATGTTGTGATGTTCATTATATTTTTAAATTAACCTAAGAAATTGTTTTTTTTTTTTTTTGATCAAAGATCAGCCATTTGTTAAATTAAAATAATCACAGTATCCTTTAATCATCATACTTAAATGCTATTCTAAGTCCATCATTCCGTTTATGCCAAACATAGAAGTGTCTATCGCAACTGCCAAAAGAATAATTAATGGGTCGAATTCGCTTCTAAGTTTCCAAAAGCAGTTTAGAAGACGACTGTAGCAGTAGGAAACTATTAATTATGACTAAAGTTTTTTTTTTATTAAAAACTTGCATATAGAAACACAATTATTGACTTGGGTAAGCGAGCCCCTATGACGTACGTGTTAACGCATTAAGGAACAATTGTCGTCAGCGCTTCACTTCAAATGCATGCATGTCTTGAAATGGGTTCTGTCCACATACAGCCGAAATTCTTAACTTCTTTGGGAAATATAAATAATTGGAGAAATTTCCGCGCATTTCTAGTTTCTCTTAGCTCTATTCAATACTCTATTCATAACTCTATTCAAACTTAATTTTTTAATTTTCAAATCATTTATTATGAAACTTTTAATGGCACTATTTTGGAATAAGACCCCAAAGTGCATTTTTCTATATTAATCTTTTTTACGGAACTGTTATCTTCTTGGCAAAAAACCATAAGCTAAATTTGCTTGGAACGCATTAGTTGGCCGAAAATATACCTAAATGAATCGCCGGAAAACCGGAGAACAGCAACATGCTGAAGTTAAAGTACATTATATATAGTATGAAAATGCTTAACAGAGCATGCGGTTGCGTTCGTACAAGGTTCTCATTGCGTTCTGAGAAAGAAAATTCGCTAAATCCTTTTTATATGCAACTTTCACAATCGTTACCTTTAATTGGTAAAGAAAGTCTGTCAACGAGACGTTGAGAGAAAGCTGCAAATGTTAGGCAGGATTCTCGGCACTGTTGCTTACGTTGGTGATTATATACAAACAAATCATTTTAAATATCACAACTTATTGAATTAAATTCTAGGGTATTATTGTAGAAAAAGTTCTCCCATGCAAATGAAAATACTTTAAATTTTAGATAGGAAAAAAGAATCAAAATTTCTAAAATGCAAGCATTAATAATATATAGAAAATATAAAAATTTGAAAATATATTTGTATTTAAATTGCTTCTTCTTCATTTTTTTTTTTTTTTTTCCTAAAAAATAAAATTATTAAAATAGTTTGCAAATGCTTGAATTCATGATATTATTTAAGAAAATTATTTGTACGTTGTATATTGTGTGTGCGTAGATATTGATTAAATTCCGAAAAATTTCTTAAAAAGTAAAGTAACAAACATCTGTGAATATATAACGTTAGCAAAAAGTAAAAATTAATATGTATATATGTACCATCATTAATTTGAAATGTTTATAAACAGTTTAGTTAAAACAGAAATATGTGTTACGCTTTTTGCGCTTTTAAATTGCAATTAAGAGAAATACATTAAATACATCATCATTATTTTGCCTTAAATCTATAGATGTGTATGGTAACTTTTTGCAAAGCTTAGCTTACACTTTTGTTAAATTGCTAAAATGTTATTAAATTTAAACAAATGAAAATGCAATTGTGGGAGTTGGCTCATCATTAAATACCCTACACCTCTTCGCTTAATATCGTCATTCATATAAGGAATTCTTAAGATAAGGCTTCATATGTCGAAAAAGTGATCTGATTCGAATCATTTTCAATGGCGGTCGGTCCTGGGCCGAAACATGTCGATGGTAAATCTGATCAAAATACTTTGAAAACGGCGACGTGTACAACAGAGAACGAAGGAAGAGCGAGATATGAGAGGGAGAGGACATGACAAGATGGACATAATAAAAGGCGGGTCTAACTTCGGGATGTAACATATATCCGCACAAATTCAATATACCCTGGTATCACAAGCGGTGTAGGGTATAAAATGGAAAGAATTATGAGAAAAAATTGAAGGAAAATTGTACATATTTACATAAGTGATATCTCTCACGACTACTGATCAGTAAGTTAGAATCATTTTAAACAAGATTTAAATTGAAAAGAAAACTTATAGACAAATGATTGTAGGTAGAATTAAAGAAAGTTAAAAAAACGCAAAAGATGCAATAGTTGCAAATGTAGCGATTACTTTAAACAATCAAAATTTTTCAGATATATATAGATGGAGCTACAAGCTCTACAATAGCTCTACAATAAATCACAAAATCTCCATCTCTGCCGTAAAAATATTATATTGTTTTCTGAGGAGGATTTTTGGAAGGAATTGCTTTTTTCATTAAGTCCTATATTTAAATGTAATGTTCTTAGCTCTATGCAACTTAAATAACAGCTTTATTCAGATGAGATTATTTCGCACCAATGTCATTATTATTTATGGAATATTACCGTACAAACTAGTGATTGCAAGTACTACGAAAGTTTTCCTTTGTTCTCTAAAAGCTTTTGAAGCGGAAGTAAAGAAAGCGACTATTAAGTCTGAATACTTGACCAAAACACGATTAGTGTATGGTTACAGCTGTGAAACCGCGGTAAAGCTGTAATACTTGCTGATTGGGCTCTCAGGCTGCGGTCACTCCCTATCGCTCTCTTCCCCTACTTCTTTGGCGCTATTACCTTGTTACACGTGAAGGGAACATTACTAAATAATTGATCAAATGAAAAGAAATAATAAAAAGAAATGTATACTTGCAGCCGGAGCTGGTTAAACAGTTGATCTTTCTCTTTCATCTATTATTGCACATAGAAGAGCATCAGTAGATTTGGGTATTTTTTTTGTCAACGATATTACAACTGTATTTAATTTACAAGCTGTCGGGTTTTCTTTTCATCGAATACCTTTATATATTTGATCGGTTGCATTATAATTATTAAAGCCAGGCATACGATCGTTAATTGACCGGAAAGATTTGAGCACTGTGTTAGGTGATTCTCAGAAATGTTTTTACCATACTTAACGAACTTCTTCTAAAGGTCGTAAGTTTGCGTTTATAGGCGAACCACATCCTGACATTCGTCAAGAATATATATATTTTGTGATCTCTGATGTACAAGTAAAAGAGCAAGTGTAGATAAACGTGAACAATTGATTACGTGTAATATTCCCTCCTCCATCTCTATAAGTCATAACCATCCACTACGCGTACTATGTAAGTTAAGTATATATATATATATATATATATAGATAAATGGTACCTATACTTTGGATAACCCGGTGGTTACATATACAATCAAACCCATGTGCTTCATATTTAAAATTTCTTTTCTTTTTTTCAAACTTATTTGCACCACTAAGAAAGTTTTCTGGCTCGATATAACTTATACTTCTACGACATGCACAACATTGTAAAATTGGAAAAAATTTGATCGAAAAGTACTTATGTAGGAAATGGCTTAGGCCGGGTATAAACTTTGAAATTTATATTAATTCGGCTAATGATACATTATTAGCTATCAAATTTTGCATCCCATCGAAATGTCCGTATGCGATGAAATTTTCCACATATTCTGGTACCAGACCGTTATGCCTTGTATGTGTCTGTTATTGATGGTGTTTATTATCTAGTATTTAAAATAACGTGTTTCGGTTAATGCTCTTATTTAAGTTATTCGTATTTAAGTTGTGCAAAAAATGTAAGCATGTTTATCATAATCAAAAAAAAAAAAAAAAAAAATTAAATTTTTCTAAAAATATTTAAATTTAGAAAACTTTTATAAAATATGATTAATAGTTATGTACGATACATATAGAAAATAAAGGAAAAGTAAATATTTTACACCAACAGATTTCTAGAAAAAGAAAACAGTCTTTTATTACCGTTCTTATGAGGTAAACACGCAGATTGTGTCGTTATTGTTAGTTACTTGTTACTGCCATTAAAACTCAGCGTTTACCAAAAACTAAAACCTTTGCTTAAATGCATTAGATTCTCGTTTTAGGCTAAGGTTTCCTACACACAAAACGTTTTAATTTACATGTATCTTTATCACATATCGTGTATTGACTGCACTTTTAGGGGAGCATTATTTGCACATGTTTTATTTCTATTAGTAAAATCAAATAAAGGCAATATAGACGGACAAACTCCAACATAAAGTACCTTTTACAACTTGGCTTAATACAATTGTTCATATAATGATTTTTCAAACTAAGGTATTATGCAGGAAGTGGTCGAAAAGGCGTCCGATCTGAACTATTTTCAATAGCGTTCATCCTTGGGCGAAAACATATCGGTGCACAAAATTTCGAAATATTTCAAAAATAGCGACCTGGGGTTTGACCACAACAAAGCAAAATGGACATGCGGACGTGCAAGCTTATATAAATATAAATAAAGTGTGTGTCTACTGAAGTCCTTCTGCATGTTCAATATGTCCGCATTAACTTAATATACCACAAGTGATATAAGGTATAATGATTTGTAATCGATAATCCATCAAATTAAAGTGAATTCATGAGAACGAATTTTTTTTTTTGTTTGCTTAATTTAGGACTTGTAATTGATCTCTTGCGATTCTAATTTAGCATGACAGCTTGGTACTGATTAATAAATTTCGAAATTTTTTCTGTTCACTATTACAGTCGATGTGATACTAGGTTTATTATACCTTATCAACGGTTAACAGGGTTCTCGTTACCGAACCATCCTACGATACGAAAGGCAAGAACTTTACGATCGGATTTTGAATTGATAGTAGTATTCGAGTGCTTTCGTGGAGAGTTTGATATCGATAACTAGTGTTTAGCATGGGCCTTATGAAGCCTTACGAGATGACGAGCGCATGTAATTATTAATGAATGCTTGGGTGGATTACTCCTCTGCAATGAGTAGGAACTGTGTGAAGTTTAAATTTAAAATTCATACCGAGGTAAAGTATTATATTTAATCCTGTGACTGACTGACTAGGGACAGCTAATGGATAAATGTATCCCAGGATTAAAGATGAAGCAATTGATAGTTGATAATTTAATAAGGGATATTGAGTTTGATGCATAACATTATAAACAGATATTCTAAACAAAAGTCGTGACAAGTGCAGAGCAGTACCATACATAATCGCCATGACTTTTATCGACAATTAAGCCAGACAATTACAATTGCTAAGCCTAAATTTTGTATTGATTGGCAGCTAACATAAATAAGAAGAAAGTAATAAGGAAGTAAAGATTAGAATAATATTTTATACTTACCATGCAGAAACTGTGCCTAATTGATATTCCGGTACAATTAAAGTTACTAAAGACCATAGACTGGAGGCTTGCACCGAGTAAGAGAGGCCGATGATAACCATAATTACGTAGGGATTTAACATTGTAAAGGTCAATAGCGAATGAGCGCCCGTAGTCGAGGAGGTAGCTAGAAATATCCAATCCATGTTATGAGCGGTTTTATCAATAATAAAACCAAATAAAGGGGACGCAACAGCGGATATCAAATACAGAATCGAGTTGACGTTGTTGGCTTCCTCGAGCAGCGATTTGAATTTTTCCATAAAAAAATCTCTAAAAAATACCGAAAAATATGAAACTTAAATATTATAGAGTAGATCCATTCCAGCATTCTAGCTTACTTGCCCAACGCTATAAAGGGGAAAATGCTGACATAATAGGCTAAACAAATTACAGATACCATCCAGAATGTTATTTTAAATGTAGTGATGTCACTTAGCTTAGCTATTTCGCCGCTAGAATTAAGGCGGAGTAAGGAGTATGCGATGTATGCTGGCGTCTGCCCGCCTTCTTTCCATGAGCCTTTAATTTTAGGAACGACCACAGAGGCGCACAAATTAGATTCGGCAAGCCTTAACTGATAAGTTTGCAAATAATTACGTTTTGTAGAATGCAACGTATTGAGAAAGTTGGTGTAAACAGAGCACATAGCGGAGCGAACTAATTTCATTCGTTAATTTCCATTCCAAAAAAGGAAACTTTTTGCATTAAAATTTTAACAAGATATTAGTTTGGGGAAAAAGAAATCCATTATTTTTTCGGTAGATGGCTGCACTGATAGATTTCTCGTAAAGTATCGATCAAACAATTTCAGATTTATGCTCGTTGGAAAGGTGACATTTCGCAGTAAAAAAAATTCTTTTGCTGTTTTT